TCAATTATTTTTTTGGATTCATTTGTTAAATGTGTGGTGTCTGGTCTTGCTTTTTTTTTTGTTGATTTATGATATTACTTATAAGAATACTCATTTGGTGACAGTTTATCTCTTGCTTGCTATTGTTTATATCTCTCTTATATATCTCTCAAAACTAAGTGTAAATCCATCCAACAAAAATCTATGCATACAAAAACAAAATCCATGAAACAAAAAGCTAACCCCTTCAAAAAAAGGGATACCATACGGTGCGGGTGTTTTCGATTGGGCTAAAACTCATAAAACTCCAGACAAAAACATACAAAAAAACACACACACACTCACACTTCCACACACCTAAACACACACTGCTAAGAAGTAACTCGATAATATTTAGATAAAACTAATTTGAAATATTTTCCCTTCGTTTTATCATCAACAGCGGCACTGTCGCTTAAAGCATTCCGGGGATATTCGGATCGAGACCCTTGAGCGTGGCGGCAGCGCACCGGCCATCTATCGTCCGTTGGGCGCCGGTGCCAGCAATGAATCCCAGTCCCACATCAACAGCACCACCAATAGCCACGCATCGACATCCAGCCTCAACATTCTCAACAGCAAACTCGGAAATGGCAATGGCAATGGAAGCTCCAACAACTCCAGCTGTGCCCAACAGCTGCTAATGAGCTCCAAGCAATTGGAGCAGCTGCTCCATTCCCCACTCTCTGCAGGCGCTGCGGCTGTGGTGAATGCGGCCAACACTCAGCAGGATCTTCAAGCGGTGGCCGCCTACTGGGCTGCAGCCTGCAAGGCAGCCGTGGCCAATGGGGAGGAGCTGCTGCAGCTGCAGCAGAATGATCAAATAGAGATCACGCGGCTGCCATCTGCGGCCAACCAAGAGCACCAGAGCAACCAGAGCAACACCAAGAGCAAGCAGCAAAAGTGTCCCGTGTGTCCGTACATCTCGGAGAGCAAGTCCCAGATGAACTATCACGTCTCCCTGCACAAGCCCACGCAGTACGAGTGCCGGCTGTGCACCTTTGTGTGTGCCAAGAAGCAGCACCTAAGCAGCCACATGAGGAGCGTGCACCAGCAGCAGCTGGCAGTGGGTGGCACAGGCGCAGCAGGCACAGGAGGTGCCTCCTCCTTGGGCCTGGACTTTAGTGTGGCCCTTCAGCTGGCGGCGGCGGCCAAGCAAGTTCAACAGCTGCCCGCCTCCACGCCGCTCTCCATCGACTTGAGTCAACTGCAGCTGGATGCGGCCTCGGATGCGGAAATGAATCCCCAGCAGCTGCCGCCAGAGTACCAGTACAAGCTGATCAGCTACTGTCCACGTTGTCCCGCCCGCTTTGCCCAGAAGCACAACGATGAGCGGCAGGGCAAGCAGGAGCTGGAGCAGCACCTGACCGCCCATGCGGCTGCCAATGATACAGAGACGGAAGATCTTTATGTGTGCACCTACTGCGGCTACCGCACAGGAGAGGAGACGCTGCTGCAGCTGCATCGGGCCGTGCACATGTCGCACTACCAGGAGAAGTGCCAGCAGCTGTACAAGAACTGCAAGGAGGATGTCGAGTTCCCAGCCCCGAAGCTCATGCAGATCACGGGACCCGAGACCATCTGGGTGGTGGACAGCGAGCTGAGTGTCCAGCTGCTGCAGCAGCAGGCGGCGGGTGGCGTTAGTTCTTCGACCAGCGCTGCTGGCAGCTTCAGTGGCCAGAACTCGCTGCTCAAGAAGCAGCTGGAGTCGGGCAGTGGCCTGGAGAGGGTCATCGAACGCGAATCTACGCCTCAGCCCAAGCCACAGGAGGCGGAAGCCGAGGCGGAGGAGGATGAAGAGCGTCGCAGCAGCTCCACGCCATCGACGAGTGCGTCGGTGGCCACCAGTGACCTGGCTGCAGATGGCAGCAGTGATGCCGGCTCCATGGATATGCCACAGTCGGCCTCGGCGCCCGAGCGCTGTCTCCACTGTCCGTTCGAGACGCAGAAGCATGAGGAGCTGCAGCAGCATCTGCCGCATCATGGCGTCGTCCAGGCAGCCCCAGAAGGTGCACATTTGTGTGCCCATTGCGATTACCATTCCGCCACGGAGGCAGAGATCGAGGAGCACACGGTGGTGCATTTCAATGCCAGCGAGAAGCTCAAGTCTGTGGAGTTTTACACGTGCTACGACAACCTCGAGATCAGCATGGAGCAGGAGTCAGAGGAGCCCGCCAAGCAGCACACCGAGAACAACAACAACCAGGACAATGTGATCAATGCCAATATGCAGGAGCAGCAGCAGGAGCAAAGCGATACAGAGCATCGGGATGGGGACCTGGACGAGCAGCCGCCAGCCAAGAAACACAGCACAAAGATCATTCTGTACAAGAGCGATGGAGCGTTGAGTGTGAAGCCATCGCCAGAGGAGCCATCCGGAGCAGAGTCGCAGAGTCGTAGCGAGAATATCAGCGATCGTCTGCGTCGTCGCATACTACGGGGCAGTGCCCCAACAGCGCCCGAGGAGGGCCAGGAGCAGCGACCAACGACGCCGGAAAAAATGATTCTGGTCAATCCCAAGACGGGCAAAGTCATTTCCAGGAAGTAGAAAGGAATCAACCCACGCCTCCCCAACCCCTTTAGATGATACGATTACGATTTTTGATTACGTTTAAAATATTATTTTTCATTTTGGTATTGTTAAAGTTTTTGTTGTTGCTTTTGTTTAGTTTATTTTTCTTCGGGTTTCTGTTGAGGTTGGGATTTGTTTTGGACACACCAATTATGGTTATATTTTGACACTAACACACATACACCACACACACACACACACACACACCGATACACCCTGTACAATAGTTGGAACATGTTCCTGCACTTAAAAAAACTTTGATTTAGATCCTAAGTTAAACCTAGTTATATACATACGACACGAGAATACCCCAACTATAAGAATATTTCTTCTGTTATCTTTCGGGCAGACCCACAAATTCATATATTTATCAACGGCAACAATTTCGAATAATTCTTTGGGGATCTGCCTGGGATCTTTTCTTATTATTTCTATGATTATGATTTTGATTATGTTCTAGAACGGTGCAAAATGTAATATAACTTAATACATAAATTATCAAAACGGAAAAGGAGAGAAAACTATAAACGTTTATAATCGCATAAGCATAGAGATATTGTACATTTATAAGATAAATACCCCCCAACAAAGAGCAAGATCCAAAAGCGTTTCAAAGAAATCAAAACAAAAAAAATCTGTATAGGAAATACTGAAAAGAAATTTATAAAAGAAAAAATATTCAAAATTAAGTCTTGCTGGAACATTATTTTGTTGAATATAATTTTGTTTTTTTTTCTGAATGGGAACTGTGATTATTGATAATTGTAAAAACAAAATAGAAAAGAAATGCAAGAGCGTATATCATGCATAGAATATGGTACTATATACATACTATATAAATCTAAAAACCTATACATATATATATATATTTACATACTGCTGCCACAATACAATGCAAATGCACGTACATAATTCAAATATCAAAGTGAAGAAAATGGTAAAAATTGTTGCAATATTTGCAATTTTATTTTGTACAAGCAAGCGGGCAGCAAAAATGGTTACATTTTAGGAATTTAGTTCGCTAGACTCTAAAATAGTTTTTTGTTTGATGATTTTAATTGTAAATTAGAACTTATTATTTGAACAGAAACAATGTAAGAAAGAAACAAACAAAACAAAATGTTATCATAAACTTTAAGCAAACGAAAAGAACACTTGTGGAATAGCGGGGCCATATTTAAATAGTTTAACGAGAAACAAACAACATTAAAACAAAAGCAAATCAAAAAAGTAAATAAAATGGAGACAAAAGAGTATACAGAAGTAACTTACACTTGGATATAAAACTGCAACCGCCTTTGATATGCATATATACATCTATATGTAGGGTATATCTATATCTATACACACAATATACATACATACTATATGATAAAAATAGTCCTTAACAGATAAAAGTACACTTAAAAAGAGAATAGTTTAATTAAATTAGTTTTGTTTACTACGCGCACACACCCACATACACCTACACACCTACACAGATTTATGGCATCAAATTCAAAATGAGAAAAAATGTACAAAATACAACAATTGTTAATAAAGAAATCAAATTTAAAAAATACACAAGTTGCATTTACAATTAATCGCTCTCCAACTCTCATAAAATACATTAGAATAGGGAACTTCCTTTATAAATTAGTTCAAATTGAAATGCATATTTGAAATGTATATAATTTAAAAGTTTACTTTGGAAATGGACCAAACTCATATAAGACCTACACATAAAGATAATGTAAATCCAAATTACTTAATTTTAAAAATTAAATTAATCTTTATATCGGAGTGAAAGTGTTTGTGATTTGGTGGAAATTAGGTAATAGTAAAAGTGAAACTTATTTGCTTAAAAATTTAAGTGATCCTATTATCGATATATTGAAACGGAGCCCTGTTTCGCATCGCAGCCCACACCTTGCAATTTTCAGAAGTCAAAAGGTTCCAGTTCCGTTTATGGTACAGGTTCCGTTGAATTTAATTGAAATTCATTTTGTGCAATGTGTTTAAAACAATCAACTAAAATTAGTGCTTTATTGAACACTATTATTTGTTTAATGATGAGGCTATTAATTATTATTATTATTATTATTTAGCCCAGCTAAATCGAGGATGGTATTCGTATGGTACTTTTTTCTTTGGTATGTTTTTAGCCGCTCGAAAAATATAGAGCTGTTTCGCATTCCACAAGGCACAAGGAGGTTGAGTATATATGGTAACGGTATCTTGCAACAACCAAGAATACAAATCGGGATCAAGATATGTCGGTTAAAATTGTTTTTTCAGTACTGCGAGTCCAAACTAGCTTGTAGAATAAAAACGAATATAAAAATTGAGTGATACAACTTTCATCGGTACTTTAAAGGTATATTTAGGTACACTTTTGAGGGCCAGATGGTATATTATATCGATAAATCCACGGTCACACTGTTCTCCAACTCTAATTTTGATGAAAGATTACAAATTGTGAATTGCGATGCATTTTCATCAAATTCTGCTGTAGCATCACATAGAAAACGTAATCCGGGCTCATTGTAACTACTCGAAGACATCCCCACCTGCCACACACATGGATACCAAGTCCAACGATGATTCAGCTGGCAGTGATTCGCTGGACAAATCTATGCAAATTAAGTGCGTGATGGTCGAGACGACAAGCGATGCGATGGCGACTGGGCCGACAGTTGGCGAGGAGTCTGACAACTGCAGCCGGGATTCCGCTGCACGGGACATGGGCGACAAGTCGGCGTCGCCGTCGCCGTCGCCAACGGGTGCGATGCAGCGAGAGCAGCAGGCTGAACAAAAGACTGATGCGGTGTCCAGCATGGGTGACGGCGACAGCTCGTCACAGACGGAGGCCAGCAGCAACTGCAGCAGCAACACGTCCCCCTCCTCAATAGTATCGTGCACTGCCTTCGAGACGAAAGTCAAACAAATCTCACAGAACCTCAAGGAGACCACTCTGGCCGAGCCAGTGGCAAAAAGCGAACCGACCACAAGCGACGCGGCCACAAGTGACGCAGCAACCAGCGACACAGCCACAAACGAGGCGGCCACCAGCGACGCAGTCAGTGCTGCAGCTGGCGACAGTAGTAGCAGCCTGGGCGATGCCGCAGCCGACACAGAGTCTCACAATTCCACTGACGACTCCTCCGAGCGGCGTGTGAAAAAAGTTCGCTTCCATCCCGATGTCAAAGAGAACGACGGCGGCACTGGGGCGATAAAAAAGCGTTCACCGCAGTCCAGCGAAGCGGATTCAAGTGCAAACTGTGATGGCATGGACCTCGATGAGGACGAAGAGTGCGATGAGGGTGATGAGGAGCCGGAAGAAGAGTTTGATATGGCCAAGACAATTGCCGAGGCGGAGGACTACCTCAAGGAGCATCCACTCACGTTTGTTCGCCGAGCCGAACAAAACGGAGATACACTAAACGATGGCTTTGATACCATCGATGATATGCCACCCGTGGTGCCGAAGGAGCCGTACGACAACGATGTAGATTTCTATAGGAAAATTGAGCCTGAGAATGGCATTGAGCGTGTGCTAGGACGCGAAACAAAGGCGGGAAAGGTAAGTCAATACGATGGATTACTCCAAGTTAAGGGTTAACATTATTCACTTGATTTGCAGGTGGAATATCTGTTGCGCTACGAGAACCAGGGCGGACTCTTTTGGGAATCTGAAGAGTTCATTCGACGCATGTGTCCGACGCTTCTCGAGGAATACGAAAAGAATCGCGAGAGGCGTCAACAGCGTCTGGTAAGTGTCTGCCTCGTCTGCTCCATGTCTGTTCTCCTCTCTTCTAATATGTATTTTTTGGGTTGCAGATGCATCACGTTGCCAAGCGACAGACCATGCGACAGCGTTATACGGATTTCTAGTAGTGGCTGCTTAGGTTTTAAGTTCTGAAATAAGTTCCACTTACATGTAAAATTTTTGTAATATGCAGTTACGTTACTGATTTTCCTTTGTTGAACAAAAACCAATAATGCATCTAAGGAATTAGATCCCATTATATTAAATCATTTAGTGGTCGTAGTCTCCTATTCTTTTTGTATGCGTATATATAGTTTAAATTTCAAGATTGACTGATTTGCCCGCACACCCATAAAGCCAGTCCTGGCGTTAGACACTATTTCCCCCGTACTCTGTAAATATGTAATCCTATGAGCTGTTTTCATTCCATTACTCCGCCAAGTGTAACCACTGGAAGAGGAGAAATCATTTCTCGCTCGCCAGAGAGGAAGCCGTTTGACAGTGGACTCCTACAATAATAATCCGATATGAACAGCTAAAAACATTCTCTAAGATGCTGCACATTCTGTTTCCTTCCAAAATTTTGATACTCAAGATTTCCTTCTTTTGTAAGGGCGATATGGGACGTGGCAAATATGTATGATATCGGGAATCTGGATGCAAATCACTGTGGCTCTTATAGTCTTCGAGATAAGATTGACTAATGGACATTACATGTGTTAAATATAAGTTTGCACGAATGTTTGCTTTGAGTATAAGGTACAAATGTACACAGGTGTAGGGTATGTGTGCAAGCGCACACTGTGTCATAAGAAGTACGAGACAAGGCGTAGAGACTGTACAGCATTCATTAAATGAATTTCATTTATATTAATCCGGTAAACAAATAAAATTTCAGAGCCGACTGCTGTGAAACTATTAGAGCTGGCTTCTATAAGAATGTTAAGGCTGGCTGCTATGAAACTATAAAATGTTGCTGCAATGAGACTTTACAACTGGCTGAAATATAATTATTAAAGCTGAGACTATAAGATTAAGTAAACTTTAAGCGTACTTTACGTTTAATCTGGGGTACTGCTTTAAAGTAGTCTAGTACTCTGATCCGAAAATATGTTTGCTAGCAAACTGCAATATATTTTTCTAGCGGCAGAGTGTTACCAGAGGTGTAAACTGCATTCCCTACGGTTGCACTGCTCAGGCAGCTGCCTTGTATTGTTTACTTTGTGAAAAGTAAACAAACGGATCCCAGCAGGAGCTATGTATGCAAATACATATAATAATACTCTTTAAATACGTTTACATTTACGTTCCCATTGCGAGGTACCCTGGCGGCATAATGAATAAATCTTTCTACATCTTTGCTAACGCAAAATACCATCGAAGACCATCAAATACGAATATCATTCCTGTTTTTTCCAGCTGCCCCTTTTTTCGATTCTGAGTGGTAGAACTTATGTGTGATGCTCCAATTCTAGGAGTAACCTAGTATAGTAAACAATCGAACCATCTGGTTATATTATATAGAATATAAACTGGGGGAAATGATTTAAGAATCGGTATATTTACGGTATATTTTAAAAATAATAAGTATATTTCGGAATATTTCCGTGGGCCAAGGGGTATATTTTTTACCTCGGTCACACTGGCTATTCGGGACGCAAAATCAAAAAAATTAAAAGTACAATACATAAATTGACGCCTACAGGACGGTCTACGACTCAGATTTCTTCATCGAATACGTATTGGATCTGATAATTGCCGCGACGCAAAGGCATTATAGATAGCAAACGCAAGACACCCCGATAACCTTGCCTCAAATCAGAACAAAAGAGAAATTTTTTTTTTTGCGTGGTCACCCGTCATCGTCGTTGTTGGTCGTCTGTCGTCGTTGTCGTAGTTCTCGAAAATCTGCATTGGAGAGGCATCAGCAGCGAGCGGAATAGCCCCACAGCCAACAGCAATAAAATGCACATCTAAACACATTCAGATATAAACAATTTGTTTTCGAATTCGAAATTCGTGGCAGCAGCAGGTGAAAGTCTGATTCCGAGACAGGTAAGTGGCACCTCCATCCTCCTCCATGCTCCACCCCTATCCCAATGCCATTCCAACCCAAAATGGAATCTACATATATATATATTCTATATGCTATAGGGAAAGTGCGCAGATAACTTTTCGGATACTCCCAAAATCTATTTGTTTGGCATACGTCGATTGCTTATCTCTGCATTATCACTTATATAAGGGTGTCAGCTCCGATTCGCATATGCTATGATATGCTATGATTGTTTACTGCAATTTCCTGTATCTCCTCCGATGCACACACACAATCCCCTCGTCACCCCACCGACCCCTGCCTGGCTGCAGTCTATAAATAGTTGCTGCCACAGCACAGCGCATATCTATGCGCACCCGAATGACACGGCACCGAATGGCTGTCGACTGTCGCCTGTCCCGTGTCGCTGTCACTGCCACGGCAGTTTTTGTTTGTGGCAGGTCAGGTTATCCTGTACCCTACATCCCGTTGCCAGCCGCGTGAGCATCCCCCATCCTTCCACCTACATACGTATCCCACTCATCAGCATAGTGCGTAGTAGCTGACAAAGAAACAATGCCCTGCCTGGCCAATCCATCTGAGTTCTGAGATGTGCGGTATGCGGCGGCATTGTCTCGTCTTGAACTTGACGTTGACCGCTGCCTGCTGCTGGACTCTTTATTTATTTGTTAAATGCGCGTGGCGAGGCGACGAGAGAGAGAGAGAGGAAAAGAATCAGTCACCCACTCTCGCCGCCTCTCGCCAGCTGCTGTTCTCTTTTTTCTTCACGTACCGCTTTCTGCTGCTGTTGTTTGGTTCATTAACCCACATGATAACTCATTTGGCAGGAGGTCGGAGGAAAAAACTACGCAACAAACAAACAGAAACAGAGAGAGGAAAAACAAAATTGTTCTTTAGGCAACTGCGTAGGAAGGAGCGAGCGAGCGAGCGATGCCGGAAGAAGAACCGCGACAGAAGCCCATGGAGGAGGAAGAGGACGATGAAGAACTGCAGCCGCTGCCACAGCAGGAGCAGCCGCCCTTGCTGCCCAAACAGGATCACCATCCCGAAGATCAGCCGCCCGAAGAACAGGCACAGACACCGCCCTTACCCATAACGCTAACAGCAGAGGAGGCAAGTATAACCCTTTGAACTTTTTCATTTGCATGCAAAACAGACTCTAAACAGCTCCATCAACAGATGCGTGAACGTCGTCTACGCACTTTGGCCGCCCGAAGCATCATACAAACTCCATTGGCCGCAGCCACCACAGCTCCCAGTCCGGAGAAGGCCTCGAGGAAGCAGACAAATGTCTCTGGCGAGTCTCGCCTGGTGCGCGAGACCACGCACAGCGACTCAGAGTCATCCACCTGGCCGGATCTGAGCAGCAAAAATGATATGGATGTGGAAATGCAGACAGTAGTGCCCATACAGGATGTAGAAATGGCGCCAGCAGCACTCAGTCTGCCCAGCGAGGCGGCCACCAAACGAACTGTGAGGCCAGCAATCGAGACACCCAAAGCCTCGACAGTGAGTCCCGAGCGGGAATTTTCCAACAAAAAGTTTCCAGCATCAGCAGACGGTTTCGGTAGCTCGCCCAAGAGCGTGGATGAACAGAACGAGCAGCTGCTGTCGCGCTTGCTGAATTGCACATGGAATGAGTTTGGCAGCGGCTCCATTATATGCGCCCAAACGGCCAGCTTCCTGGAGCAACATCCCAGCAAGCGATTTGACTTTGATTTCATTGTCTCGAATGTCCTCATGGAGACGGCTCTCAAGATCTACAACGATGAGCTGGGCGAGAGCAGTGCCTGCCTGGTGGATGACATGGAATTTTCAACGCCCAAAAAGATCAAATCGGATGACACGGAGGTGCAAGAGATCATGGCCAATGCAATGGCCTCCACTTCGACCGTTGAGGAGGCGACCACCTCCAGCCAAAGCGAGGCCACGGCCAGCAGCGATGCCAGCTCGTGCCTGGCCCCCTCGGTGCTGAACATTGTGACCACCACCAAGCACAGTGTCATTCTCTACCTGATGAAGTGCTATGAGAACTACCAGACAGAGTGTGCCACAAAGTCGAGCGCCAGCCAGCCGGCGCTCCATTTGGCATTTGAGAACATTATGCGCATGACGGTCCTCGTGCTGACGGATCGCATTCATCAGAATCTCAACTGGCAATTGGATCAGTCGGCCCTGCTGGAGCTCATGTATATGGAGAAGGTCAGCGAGTCCTTCCTGGTCGATATTGTGGCCCACACCCACGAAGATCTGGAGGCGTTTGATACCATCTTTGGCCAGGTGCTGCGTGGCCTGTTCACTGGCATGCAGCGCAACGTTTGCACAGCGAAAATCAATCTATTGCAAATCGAATGGCTTGCCAAGCTGGTGGTCATCAGGGTGGGTGCTGTGCGGCCACTGGCCGATCTCGTCGCACGTCAGCCCAATTTTATTCCACCAATTTGCACAAAGATCTCGGGCCGAGAGATTGTCAAATGCAGTTTTCTGGGACCCTTTCTGTCCGTCTCTCTGTTTGCCGAGGAGAATGTCAAGTTTGCAGAGACAACCAAGAACAAAGTGGAGGATGCAGTGGCCTCGCGACTACGTTGGGTAGGTGTTTGGGTAGCCATTCCAATCCCTTTACTTACTCTTATTCTATGCTTTTTCAGGGCCTTCATGAGATGCGCACTCATTTGCATGGCATCTTCCATTCGTTGTGCGTGAATGCCAGCAGCCGTCCAAAGACCCTCGAGTACATTGGCAACATTTTGCGTCGCAACGATCGTCGTGTGCAGTTTGCCAGCGATGAGAAGCTGCTCGCCCGAGATGGCTTTGTCATTAATCTGATGAGTGTGCTGCAGCATCTGTCCGTGAAGATTAAGCTGGACAGGATTGAGCCCAACTATCACTACATGAAGAACTGCCATGTCAGCATCGAGCAGGACACAAAGATACGTTACAACGAGGAGGAATACAAGAGTTTCCTGGGCCGTGAATTCAGCGAGTCCGACAAGGAGGTTAACTTTCAGACGCAATGCTGGTTCCTCACCCTTCAGGCTCACCATTTGGGCTACATGCCCGCTATTCAGCGCTACCGCCAGAAGATGCGTGCCATCAAGGAGCTGCAGAAGCTGATCGACGAGCTGGATCGCACCAAGCAGCATTGGGTGAACTCGAGGTATGCCACGCGCAACAATCAGTTCAAGGAGCGCTGGGAGAAGCAGCTGCGAAAGCTCAATCGGTAGGA